AGTGAGCACCACTTTCCTGTCCCATTTGTAGAAATTCATTCTTTCCAGATCTACCCTCATGAGATTCCTCCCCGTTCGAGCTAAGAGGTTTATGAACCGAAACTAATTCTTGACTTAACTTATCAGATACTGGAGGATCCTCATTGATCTCTCCTGACATAGTTATAGAGTCTGCACTAACTACATCATTCTTCTTCGATGGGCTACTAAAGCAGCCCTTTTCAACCAAAGCCTTAATGCGAATATTGGGTTCCTCTTCTACCATTGGCGTGCGAATATTAGGTTCCTCTTCTACGATTGGGGTTCGAATATCAAATCCCATCTTGACTGCACTAGAATTTTCATTGCCTCTTAAATCCAATAGTTGTGTATTATTGTCACTCGTCTCTCCTTTCTTTGCTTTCTTGCAGGGTTGAAAAATGTCCTGCTGACTCTCAAAAGTCAATCTGGCCAAGTTTTCATTCTCATTTGTCATTGAAGGAGCTTCATCCCTCATGCCACTGGAAGGGGTAGACGAACCAGGAAAGCCACAAGTAGGAGCGGAATTACATTCATGTAACGATTGCGTGTGACCAATTGACTTTCCTCCACCAAGATCTTGTGATTCTATGGGTTTGTCCTGAAGCACAAAGCATTAATAGACATTAGACAATCAGATGAAAGAATTATGAGTAATTACTTATACTAACACTCAGATCCTACCTGTGACGCCTGAATCCATCGTCCATCAACCCAGTCATAGAGAAGCCTCAACTCTGTATGATTAAATTCTATTTCCTCCTCCCAGTGCATGAACTTCACATTGTACCTTGAATCAGCAATAACCTTAGCAACCACACCAGGCCACCAGCCGCCATTATAGAATGCTTCAACTTCATCAAGGAGGTGAAAGTTTCTAGCCTCCGCTGTTGGAGGAGGGTGTGGCCTAATGTATTGGGCAGAAACAATTTCACTCAGCAAAGTGTCGTCTTCACTTTTCAAGTTTTCATATTCGACCAATAAAACCCTTTCATCAATTACTTTAATGACAGTTGCCATGTACCAAGCAACAGGAAGTTTGTCACGGATATAGGCAATTTCTACTTTACTACCTATGTCATACGTCCTCGCTGTTGTAACCTGAAAATAAAAAGTGAAACAATAAAGAAAAATCCAAAGTCTTGGCAAAAAGAAAGTTGCAAATTTAGGAGCTAAAGATTCGAATAAGCAAGAATACCCTGTTTCAATTCTACCAAAGTTAAATCACATGTTGTGATATTAAGAATATCTTCATATGCCAATATGATCAATTGTCAGTAAATTATAGGTTGGAAGGAAATATATTTAAGCAAATAGTCCTGAAATTCAGGCCTGAGTTCACAAGGACGAGTGTTTCGAGATAGTGAATGCTTTGATCAAGATCATCATGATACATGTGATTCTCAGGCTCATATGCAAGCCACAATCTCCCTAACATTTAGTTAGATCTTGTAAAGATTTAGTTATCCTCTGATAACTGAGTATGTTTGGCATAATATTGCCAAATTGTTTATGATGCACAGTGTATACATGAGAAAAGTAGAGATAGAAACCTGCTCAGAATTTTTTAAGGCGTGTTCACAGTTCTTGTCTACAACATCAGCTACGACCACAGAAGGAACAGTATCAACATTGACATCTGGTACTTGTAAATATTTCCTGGCAGGACCCAAATCTTGAGCAGTCTCCTCCAACTCCACAAAAGGTTCTGTCCCATACAGAGCCAGTGGCTTCCTCGGACCAGCACCACTCTTATGGAATATCCTGCAAACAACAAATGAAGAGCCCTTCCCATCCACCCACCATGAACCAATCAATTTTTTAATATGAAGATGATTTTACCAAATCCAATGAATGTGATTATTAAGTGATAGAAAACACGTACTTTAGTGTTTTGTTCATTATCTTCCAAGCGATATTCGTGCATTACCCAGTTAGTCCTCTGGCCACCTGGAGCCCTACCGGTGTGAAATACCAAGGTTTTCTTCATACCGATGATCTTTTCTGATGTACGATGACGGACGCTGCGGTCAATACCAGTGGACTTCCAGAAGCCTTTAGCAGTTGCTCGATTGTTTTGATGGGAGGAGCGATTGTACTTGCGGTCAAGAGTGCAGAAGAAGAACCACTCTGTGCTGAGCATACTCAGGTTGAGGCGAGATCGAGGGGGAAGGTCCCATGGGTCCCACTTATAGAGATCAATCTCACCAATCGCATCCACATGTAGGGGGAGGCCCGCCACTTTGCGCTTCAAGTAATAGCTGACAAGCTCCTCGTCAGTTGGGTGGAATCTAAACCCCGGAGCTAAAAGGCCATCTGATGGAGGATTCAAGTTCAAGGATGAAGCCTCACAGCTGATTGTTGATAAATCAGTGCCGTGCACTGCCTCTGTTGTTCCCTGAAAAATAAAATAACATCATTATCCAGATCAGAATATAGATCTAGGTAAAATGGAGAGGGAAAATTCGAAGCTAAAATACTCAAGATAGAGAGTATTTGTTCCCTAATAAGAAAAGAAATCATTTGTTGTTTTCAAATGGAAACAAAATCAACTGTCTTCAAACTATAGATATGTTCAGGAAAATATTCCTTAAATTGAGACTAAATTGAGACCTGAAATTGAGATAACGCCGAAAATTTCCAGATAGTAAAATGCTACCATAGATGGTCATGGCTCGAGTGATTGTAACTTGTAAGATCCCTACGCTAAAAAACTATGGCCTTTAAAACTTAAAATCGGAAGCCTTAACTGCTTCCAGTAGGCAAGTCCATTACGCATCTTATTGCACATTTTAGCTTTTGATGTGGTTCTCACCTAGTGGTGACTGCACCTCGATATGATGAATCCTTAGATACACAAACATAAGTAAAATGCATAAATCGCATGCCAAATCATGCACAATATAAATAAAGAAGTCCTCATGAAACTGAGAGTCATAGGCTCATAACAACATAAACAACTACACAAATTGCTGTGTTCTGTGCTCCAGGCAACCTGAGAATTGCAAACATTTGTTCTTTGAATGTCAGTACTCAGCTGATGTCTGGAACAATGTTATGGATTGGATAGGATTTGCATGGAGGTCTTATGTCTGGGATCAAATCAGTAGGTGGTACTCTTGTAACTTGAAAGGTAAAGGATTTATGAAGAATTTGAAACGAGTGGCTCTATCAGTGGCAGTTTACTTCATTTGGCAAGAGAGAAATTTCAGAATTTTCCAAGGAAAGGCTCGGGATTCTGTTTCACTTTTCCGTGCAATAAAGCTCTCCATCTATTCTAAACTTTTGAATGAAAATTTACCTGCACATATGAAGGAAGTGTTTGATAAAATGTAGCTATATGAAAACAGTTTTTGTTTACCAGGTTAACCAAACCTGGTTTTTGATGTACAGCTCTTTTGCACATTTGGAAGATGAATAAAGCTTTAATTCATTGACCAAAAAAAAACATAAACAACTACAGGACTACTCGAAAATTAAGTTGACAAGTTGTAAATAGAAACCTTAATCCACCATCTCACCCCATCTACAGGACTACTCGAAAATTAAGTTGACAAGTTGTAAATAGAAACCTTAATCCACCATCTCACCCCATGTAGGTTAGTCTTAAAATAACAAAAACCCTTTTAACTGAACCTTCTAAGCTTTACCTATATTTCCATGTACATCAAAATTCAAATGCTGTACGTGAACTTCCATTGACCGAAACCAAGGTGCCTCCTTTCTTGTTCATAACAGCGGCCTATAAACTAAACTGGCGAATAGTTGATATTTCAACAATTAAGCATATGATGACAAACCTCAAAATAAAAAGCCACATCATGTCAACCCACAAGTGGAATCCACATGTTATCGGCTCCAAACTCGCATCTCCACTCTCGTTGCAAAAAAGAAGTGGCATCGCCCCTCCAATTTCACCCCATGTATTTTATATATGACGCCTGGCATTCAGTGAACTGACAGACAATGTTAATTGTTAGGGCAGCGCCATTTCAGCCACTTGTTGGGGTTTACTCTTAAAGGTAGGGTAGGGTTAGCGTTTAGGGTGTACAGATATATCATGTTAATGTCCAGGGTTGTCCGGCTTTGTAGACAGTTTTCTGATCTTATGGAATTAGTTACTTTAATATTCAACAATATCATCACAATTTCAACACAATCTTCCACAAGAAGAATCACACACTCAAATCATCAATTCATTTCATTCATACAACAACAAATATCTATAGAAACCTGTTCAAAGTCATTGGCATGCCCACCCTCCCGCTCAGCCGTGGGAGTCTGATCCCGATCCTCCTCATCCCTCCGCTCCTCCATTAACGGTGCCAAACGCTCATCTGCATTCTTGTTCCCAACAACGTTCTTCTTGAACACCCTGCACACAACGAAGGAAGTGCCTCTAGTGCCCTTCCCATAAAAACGCAAGCTCAACACAAAATGCACCAAAAATCCAACGAAATTCAGCATAAAATTCAACCCAAGAATTAGCATAAGATTCAACCCAAATTCTTAAAAAAGTTTACTTTTAGATACAGCTGTGCACTACGATGGTGTACCCACTTATACCCCCAAGCTATCTTTTAGCACTCACACTGCTTGAACATGAAAGCACATGATGATAATCACCTTTTGCCTTTGGCTTAAGAGGGAAATTTTAAATTGCCCTCTGACCAGAGTACAAAAAGGTGACATCGCCTGAGATTCAAGGATGTAAATGCTAATATAAAAAGATGGATAAGTTACACATAACTCCTCAGCCATACCTTTATTAATACTTACCATCCTTCAATTCATTTATTAGCTCATAAGGAGGAGGGAGTCATCTGCATTTATCTTTCTTAAAATGCCAATCCGAGAACGTCTAGCTAAGAGCGGTAAGTGGTAATAAAGAGTTGAGTGATAAGTGCAACCGAACATGTAGACTAGGAGTGGTATCTTGAATTTCAAATTTGACAAACCTGGTGCCCAAAGTTCTCAAATTGACGTTAATTTGACAATTTGGTAGCCCCAAGCCCCCCCCCGCCCCCCCCTCGCCTTTCCCAATCTTAAAGAACAACCAGAAGTTTGGTAAGAACTGTTCTTCATACACTTTTCTAAGTTAATATTCTTGACCAAAATTAACTTCAACTTGTTTGTGCTTTGGTGTTATGAAACTGTCAGAATAGAACTTCAGGATGAAAACAAAGTTAGAAAAATGTAGAACTTTGCAGTATTAGACCGACAAAATAGAACTCCAGTATAACAAAGTTTAAAAAAGGGTGAAACTTTATGGTCCCCCTAAAAGATTACTAGAGTGTATCCGCAATTAACCCGAATTCTTAGCTCCCAAGTCAGCTTGCGACCGAATCATGTGATAATAAATCAACTTTGCTGCCGGCCTAACAGCAAAACTACCAAATCCCCTCCAAGTTGCAGGGTGTAAACGCCGATAAATAAATAAAAAATAAAAAGGTTTTCAGTGAATGCATCCGCAATTGACCAAAAATCTCACTTTGTAGCTCCGATCATCCTCCTCGAGCCGAAACTCGTGCATGACCCAGTCGGTCCTCTGCCCCTTGGGCGCTCGGCCGACGTGGAACACGAGCTCTTCCTCATCACACAATGCGTCTTGCTCCTGCTGGTCGTCGGCATGAACACGGGCCCGATGCCTGCCCGTGCGCTTCCAGTAACCCCCCGGCGGTGGCCCGATCGCCCGGGCCGCGGAGCAGTCGTACTTGCGGTCGACACGGTGGCTGAAGAAGAACCACTGGGTGTCGGCGAGCCGCGGGAACCCGCCGGCGTGGGAGAGCTTAGGAGGTCCACGGGTTCACGCATCCGGTAGAGCTCGACCTCGGGGATGGCGTCGGAGCGGGGGAGAGGGAGCGCCGGCGATCTTCGCCGGAGGAAGTAGCCCGACGAAGCTCCTCGTCGTGGGCGTGGAAGCGGAACCCGCGGGGCCAGGCGGCGGGCGGCGACGGAGGGCTCATCGGGACTCGCTAGGGTTAGGGTTTCGGAGCCTCTTGGATTCGCTAGGGTTTGTGGCAGCGGGGTGAAGGGGTCCGCATCGGAATTCGAGATTTGATTTTGGGTGGAGTGCGAAACAAGGCAGGCCTTTATGTCTCGAGACGGAACGGAAAGGATTTTGTGTGGGGGGGTGCGATCTGCAAATTTTCAATTTTCATTTCTGAAAAATTTTAACATTTTTTTCGCTGGGGGCGCTACAGGGACCCAGAAACGCATGAGATCATACATGGGACATGTGAGGTGCGCCCGGCTGCCATATTCCAGGATACACTGTTCATAGACATGTGAGGGTGCAGGCTCCATGTCCCACTGACTGGTTCATAGGGAACAGTGTATCAATGGGACATGAAAACTGGCAGACACATATATATCGGCGTAAGTATGAATCCCATATTTTTGGGTCCCATAAGACACATTTTCACTCTTTTTCCGCTATATCTCTGGAGGGTGTAATGCGGCAATAAATATTGTGTTGAGTAGCCGCCGCCATTTTGTTAATTTTATTAGCTTGTAATACAAGAGAGAGGTGGCTACTTCACTGTACGAAAGGAGCCTCCTACTTAAATGGGCTCCTCGAGAGACTAGTCCGGCCCATTTTGTTTCTTTAAGACGAAGATAGCTATCGTTTACACGCAATTGTTACCGTTGCGCGCGCCGTACAAATTAGTAATTTTTGAGAAGGACAAACTTTTCTAGCTGGTTCCCTGAGGGGGAAAAAAAGTAATTTTCAGTAACAAAATATGCGTGATAACTCTCACCCTTAAGCATCCCTAGCTACCAAATACTATCAAATAAACATCATAACTAATCGTAAACACGAATCTAGAATTTGGTTAAATAATACACGGCCAAGAACCAGAGAATCTAGCCCAATACCGTGAGAGTTATATCAGAACCTCCCAACTATTCGGGTCACCCATGATGATGAGTAAGACATTACGTATATATCATGTAAACAAATTTCTTGTTCCGCCTCCCAACTTAGCTACAATTTGCGATTTTGAAGGTCCATTTGAAAATACACCAAATTTGATAAATAAGTACAAAAACAAGATGAGTAGCATTAGAGCATGTTGGATGCTCAAACGCACGCCCTTGGAACAAGAAATTAACCAGTTTTTTGAAGAAAAATTTTTTACAAATAAACAAAGGAGCCAACCTCCAACTATATTCGGCTACTCTCTTTGCATTCAATAGGACCTTCGATACAGAATGTGATCATATAATTTTAGTAGTTACGAAGAAAAAACATAAAAATATTTTAGTCTGATAGATACGATAGATACGTATACGACGAACCACCAAAAAAAAAAAAGCAAATTTCTACAAAATGGAAGGAGCAGAAATCACCAGCATCACCAGATCACATTGATCAAGAGAGCATATATTTTAACGGCATCAGTTACTGAGCTGCTAATGTTCAGACATTTGCCTCCCTAAACACTCATTTTCACCCATTCTCCTCCTTTCACTTATAAAACCTGCTCTTGTATAAGAAAAAGTATGTGGATTGCGAGGGCGAGGATCATAAGGAAAAATTCCCCTGGTTATCGAAACCAGTTGAGCATTTTGAGCAGGAGAGATTACATTTGATCGGAATGAATTAGCAGGATGCTGCGCTTAGATTCACCCATAATCGCCTTCTTTAAGATCTCCTCTGAAAGAGGCGAACAATCAGTGTGAATCTTGAAGCGAACCTGAGCAGGAAAAAAATCCATTAGATGCAAGCTGCTTCAAGCTTCATACCTCCAGCTGATGTTGCTCATGTATACAATGCAAAAGCTTTGTGCTGTAATCATACAGCAATAAGTTTAGACCGGGCTTGACAGTAACCATGTAAATGAAGCAATCTGATTTGGCCTTATAGCATTGCACATAAGTATCATCCCATCAATTTTTTTTCATCATCTCTATGATTTGGTCTCTTTTGAACCTCTGCTTCGCTGTCAGCATTTCCCGGAGTACTCTGCTGTTCTTCACAATGTTCTGTATACACCATCATCCGATTTGATGATTTCTGGATAATTTTAGGCTCAGGCTCCAATGATTTTAAAATCTTTGATCCAGTCGGCAGCTGTCTTGATGCTTCTGCTTCAGCAGCATCCCCACCGTTGTTATTACGTGTTTCTTGAGCAATAACAGGAACTGGTTGATCAGTGTCCACTTTAGGCGCCAGATTTTTCCTGAGGAGAGAGAGACTGCCAAACCTGGTCAGATGACGAGGATATCCTTCTAACTTCTATGGTTTTATACAATATTTTCCATTGAATTAGTTAAATAGAGTCATTATTCATGATTTCTCCCGTAGCAACTGACTCCAAATATATGTAGTCCATATATATATGAGCAATATGAAGGAACTTGGTACCAAGCACAACTTTTTGTGCTTAGTAGTGAGGTGGTTCAATCATATCCACTCATTAAATGGGGCCCACATTCACATGAGTTGGAAGAGTGGATGGGAATGAGACATCTCACTACCAAGCACAAAATTTGTGGTTGGTGCCAAGTTCCTACCTCTCGATCTCTCTCTCTCTATATATATATATATAAATTCCCTGGAACGAACTCAGTATAGGTCACAAACCACAGACTTTTCAGGAAGCATATAGCCTTTCAAACAAACTTATCAGACTAAAAAGTTTCATAGTGAAAGCAAACAAAAAAAAATTAGGCCAATAAGCACCTAACCAAGTAAAAAAGACATGGTTAAAACTAAGTTATCTATGTTGGAGGTATACTCTGGAAAATTGCAGTAAGAAAAATCGATATGTTCACCTCTATGGGTATGCAATGATACAGATACACAGGCCACAACTCTATAATATTTTAGAATGCTTGTCCTATCAATGGAATGATTGCGACAATAAACTACTAGCGAGAACAGTAAGATAAATATTAGCAATAGAATGCTCTATGATATGCATGAATAACAGCACCCCCTGGGCCGCTGCCCCAGACATACAGAAGAAAAAGAACAAGGACAAGAAGAAAAGAAAACATGTCTGTAATTTTAGAAATCTAATTATTTGTTCCTTATCCGCGTATTTTAGTAGATCAGCTCAGACCTAATCGAAATACCAGGACTTGGGAAAATGTCGCCAAAAAAAAACTCAAGAGTACAAGATGATCTTCCAGTGAAACTTAAGACCATAAGGAAAGTGATATGACAATGAAGATAATGGAAGTACCAGAACGCAATTATATGGATGCCTTTAATATATAACCTTCCCAACCCACAGTATTTCGCTTATGAAAAGATAAAACTAAGACGAGAAAAGATATTACACCTACAAAGTCCATTTGTGCTAATATTTAATTTATCATATTAAAGATGAACATTTCTTTCAATCTCCACCAACTGTTTCATTTATATATTAAAGATGAACGTTTCTTGCAAATTCCATCAATTATGTCTTTAAATGTTAAGCTGCATGTCCTTTTGGACCTATAGGGGCATTGGAGTAAACCCTAAACACTATCATCTGTGTAAAGTACGGATTTCTTCAGGTGAAGCTGATACATATTTCATTCATTCATAGTAGACAATGAACAATTTGTGCAAATTCCATCTATTATTCTTAAGTAGCACGTACCTCTGAACCAGAAGAGCCAGCGAAGTAAATTTTAAATGCCATCATCTATATAAATTGTAGATTTCTTCAGGTGAATTTAGATATCAATCACAGCAAACTCAGCAGCCAGGGCAGCAGTTGCGGTAAACTGAGCTCCGCAAGGACAACGTTACATTCTTTCCACACTCCTTTTTCAGGCCAAAACTCAAATGAAAGGCATAACATGGATATATTGGATACAGGCGTAACACAAATATATTGTTTATAAAACAACACATTGCGGGAAAGAAAAGAAAACAACCGCTTCCAATATTTGGTATGCATTCCATTATATTCTATTTAAGTAAGATGATTGAATGTAAACATGAGTCTGTCCAAATACACAAATATATGAAAAACTGTCAAGCTTCATTCTCTTTTTACTTAAATCAGTCATATTTGGCAGATATTAGACGTTGTATAACAGATACTAGTCTATGTGACAGACAGCAACTGATACGCGTGATGTAATAATATACACTTACAGTGAGGTCAAATGCAAAGAGGAAAAAAATTTGCACATACTCCATAATAGAACACTTGCTTTAACATGAAACTGGTGACAAGAAATTCACCACTTCGCAGAAAGCACAGCCTCAAAGTCATGTGTAGCAGATCGAAGGGCAGATTCAACTCTTCTCAAATCCTCTTCTAGTTCGTCTAATGTGGAATCGTTCCCTCTCTTTTCTTCTGAAATATGAACTTTTTCCTCTTGCAAACAGGAAAGGGATTGGTCTAGCTCTTTGATAGCCTTCTCAATGAATGCAAGCTCAGAATCAAATTGATTTTTTTCTCCTTTTCTCTTCACGAGCATAACTTCCAGATTAGATCTCTCATTCATAGCTCGCTCCTGGTTCTCCTTCATTCTTAGCAACTCTACTAATCGATCCTGTAAGTGTCGCACATCAAACCCATGTGCTTCCAAATTTTCAAGTATCTTCAACATATCATTAAACTTGTCACGGTGATCAGTTATCGCCAACTTGCGAATACTGTTTACCAGGTTAGAGAAAGTCACCATCAGACCAATAGCCATTCCTTCACGGAAATCTTTCTGGTATTCTTCCAAGGGGCGGAAATGTGGGTGTTGTGGCATTAGAGAAAATACTTCCATCGATTCAATAGAGTCCCACATGAAAGAGCATTTCTCGAATGGCAACGACGGCCGCTCTTCAGGTGGTTTAACAGGTCTAGTCTTGAATTCAGCCCTTGCTTTCTCAATAATAGCCCTTTTTTCTAGTTGTTCTCCAACTGTTGATGGCAAAACATCAATTTGCTCTTCATTTCCACCCTCACTAAGCTGGACACCAGAGGTTGAGCTTTCGACCATACTAGGTTCTGAAGAACCTTCTATCACATTAAACGTTTCTTGTGCTTCCAATCCATTGTCAGAAAATTTATTTATAGGAGGAAGCCCTCCAATTTGTGGCTCAGCGACAAATTTTCCTTCATTTTCAGCCTCTCTAAGTTGGACGCCAGAGGCTGAGGTTTCAACCAAACTAGGGTCTGAAAAACCTTCTATTACATTAAACGGTCCTTGTGCTTCCAATCCATTGTCAGAAAATGTGGATGCGTCGCATTTATTTATAGGGAGCCCACCAATTTGTGGCTCACCGACAATTTTTCCTTCATTTCCAGCCTCACTAATTTGGACACCAGATGCTGAGGTTTCAACGAAACAAGGGTCTGAAGGACCTTCTGTTACATTAAACGGTCCTCGTGCTTCCAATCCATTGTCAGAAAACGTGGATGCGCCGCATTTGTTTATAGGAAGCCCTCCAATTTGTGGCTCACTGACAATTTTTCCTTCATGTCCAGCCTCACTAAGTTGGACACCGGAGGCCGAGGTTCCAACCAAACTAGGGTCTGAAGAACCTTCCATTTCATTAAATGGTTCTTGTGCTTCGAATCCATTGTCAGAAAATGTGGAAGCGCTGCATTTATTCGTAGGGAGCCCTCTAATTTGGACCACTGTATTATCTGATCGATTTCCCATTGAATCTCCTACACCAAACATTACAAACGAAGGTAAATCAGGAGATCTGATCCATTTACTGATGCTAAAATAACTTACCGCATTAAATGCCTCACTGATAAAAAGTTGATATGGTCTCAGTTTCCTCATCCTTTTGGTAAAATGAATGGAAATCATCTTTACTTTGAGCGAGTAAGTTGGAAACATCTCCATCTACATGTAAATTAAATCGTTTTACCTGGACGCATGAGATGAACCTGGAGTGCTTGAAAGTCCAAAAGAAACAGATGGGAACCTTCTAAAAATTGATATGTCAACAAGACCACCAATAGCTGTGATCCTAGAAATGTTGATTGTCCACTATAACAAACTTGATGACCATGCTCACCAAATTACTAAGATTGACATACTCTATAAAAATTCTAGACATTGCAAAGCAGTAGCACCAAACCCCAGATTTTGATTTGTTAGCGATGTCTTCATGACTTGCTACTTTATGTGAGTAAAATCTTCTCTAATATCCTCATATATCAAAGTTTCAGATCACATCAGGAAACATCAAACTTATGTGATTGGATGCTATTATTTCCTTCCAATTATTGTATAGTTTTTTCGTCATTCAATCTGCAAACAATTAACCTACTTTTTAGAAATAGCAAAAAAAAAAGAAAAAAATCTTATAATATACAAAGACACATTATGTGAAGGGTGTCAAATTGCCAAAGCATGATTACTCATGTTGACGGAGACCAGAATGTGTGAGAATAAGAAACTAAATTTTCAAATATACAAAAACTCTCTAGCGATTTATAGCATGATCTATTTGCTAAGCTATACAAAATGAAGGACCATTGGCAACCAAATTGATCTACCTTCTAATGAAGGCTCTATAATCTTCAACTTCTGAGGTCTGCTACCCTTCCTCCTATTCTCTCTAGATGTATGCTGTCTTGGTCCCTGGAAAATTACGGAGTCAATAAAGGCTGATGAGTAAAGAGTTGCTCTAAAATTAAAGTCAAAGCACCTTATGTTTCCGGAGGAGCTCGCAGATTGCAGGTCTCTCCTTTGAAAGATCTTCCCCATTGTTGCTAACAGGTTTGTCCTGCCCTGGATTTCCAGGTACAAGAGGATCATCCAACGAGACACCGGACGACATCTTTTCAAATTGGCTGCTGGAGCAACACTTCTCAACCAAAGACTTGATGTGAAATTTAGGTTCTTCTCCATCTCTTAAACCCAACAGCTCCGTGTTATCATCTGTCGTCTTTCTTTTCTTCTCTCTCCCGCAGGCATTCTCGTCCTCTGAATTCGGGGCGGGGACCGGAAACTGATGAAGGGAGGCTGCTCCCCTACAAGGGCGGCAGCTGCACGAAGGGGTGGCCGGACCAGTAAACTTGCGCTTGTTAGCGGTGTCTCTCCGGCACGCGGGCTTTTGTCCTCCCAGCTTCTGCAATTTTAGGGGCTTGTGCTGCTGGAAACACAATGAGGGCGACATCAATCACAACGCGATCTCTACATACGTGCAATGCCCTGGGTGGTGCATAGTAGTTGACGGAAATAACTTTAATGGCCAAACTGTAAATGGGAACCCTAAAACTGTACTTGTCAACGGCCGCCGCCGGCTCACGGCGAGCGCCTAATATCCCCCGCTCCGACCTCGCCCTGCTGCCTCGGATGGGGAGGCACACGCTGTACCTCCTCCCCCGCCCGCCACGTGTACTTTCGCATACCGCGCCGCCTCCAGGCGCCGTCCACGAAGGCCTCGACGAGCTGGTGGAGCCTGAAACCCTCGCGGCGGCGGAGGGATCGATATCCGGCGTACTCGGGGCGTCGACGGTGGCTCTGCCGGCGCCGCCGTCGAGGAGACGACAGTAAGAGGGGCGGGAGAGGAAGGCGGGAGCGAGGCGTCCGGGGAGCCACGCGGCGCCGTCTTCGGAGAGGACTCGATGGCCGCGCCGGAGGCGATCTCGCGACCACGGACATTTTTTTTGGCCGGTGAATTTAGGGCCTTTCTAGGGTTTCATTTGGGAGCGAGCGAGAGCAAACATTAATCACAAAGGGATTCTCAAATAGGACAAATTTTCAAAACTTTATTTAGAAACTTAATTACAAAAAAAAGACTTATTTTCAACTTAATTATCAAAATCGATCCAGTTTTAATCAGTTGGTTGAAACTATGTCGATTTTGATAAAAAAAAATAAATAAAGTTCCGTGAAGTTTAACAACACGTTTAAACTTCACATGACTTCAAGTCCCGTGAAGTTTTGTAAATTATTTCACCAAAATCGACTCAGTTTCAGCCTTCGATTTTGACAATTAAATTCGAAATGGGTCGATTTTTATAATTAAGTTTCTAAATGGGTCGGATTTAAAAATTTGTCCTCTCAAATACTCCAATTTTTTTTGGGGGGGAAGCTCTGTATCATATACCCTTTAATCCCTTATATTTGTCAATTTGAAGGAAAGAAACATAAGTTTTTAACCATTCGACGAGTTAATTGCAGATACAACCCCTCTAAACGTCTACTCTTTTAAGTTTGATAGTGACGGATAGATCCCCGCGACTGAATTGAACAACAATATCACAACAGTAGAAAGGGTGGATGTGAAATTACACTTCATTTGATTAAGGATGGTTTTCTAAGACTAATACTGATCACTTGGTTTCTAATATGTTGTTTACTTAGCGTGGCCTTTCTCATAATTAATGATAAAAAAAAATCGAACAGTTAATAATAGGAAAATTTTGTAAAATAGTCCGTTTTTTCTAATTATTTAGCAAAATAGACCGTTTTGCTAAATAATTAGCAAAATAGACCTCTTTTGAAAAAAAAAGTTAATTTTGAAAAACAAGACTCAGAAAACATACGAGACTACTATTCCCGTATGTTTAGAGACAACTTAACCACGGATTAGTGACCCAGAAAACATATGAGACTAGTAGTCCCGTATGTTTTCTGAGTTCATCTCAATGTTTTGTGAAGTTTTCTGAGTTCACTAATCCATGATTAAAACATACGGGACTACTAGTCCCATATGTTTTCTGAGCTGTTTTGCAAAATAGACCTCTTTTGGCCTGTTGGCCAAAAAAAGATCTATTTTGCTAATTATTTAGCAAAACGGTCTATTTTGCTAAATAATTAGCAAAAACAGTCTATTTTGCAAATTTTTCCTTAATAATATCTATCTATCTAATAAACTAAATTAATATCCTGAAATGCCCGCTCGGGCGATTTCTTAGACCATTTGGACCCTAGAATGACACGTGTCGCGCTGTTAGATTTTACAATCTATATTTTACATTTTCATTTCTAAAAAAATCCCGATTAATCCTGCGTGATTAATCCAAACCCTAATCCCAACCACTATTTTTTTTCTACCTAATTAATCTCATTTTACTATCCCTTCAAATACTTTTGAGGTTCATGTTCTATCTTTGTTTCTTAGAATTAGTGCTTCTATACTTATTTACTGGTCTTCATTTTTTTGGTTCTAGATTTTTTTTTTAATTTTTTGATTTTTGAACGATGTTTTGGAATATTAGATATAACATTGTTTTAGAATGTTAATAACGAAATATATCTTTCTAAGTTTTATAAACAAGCACTGAGTGTACACATCTTAAAATTCTAGTGGTTTAGATGCAAAAGAGTAAATATCTTGATTGAGGCGTGTTTGTTTTATCTTTAATCATGTTGCTAAATTTGTCATCACTTATTAGCTTCTTAATTTTCAATTCTCAACATGTAGTTGAATTTAGGGCCTGTTTGGTTCAATAGAGGGTAGGAATAGGATTAGGAATCCTATTTTATTTACGGATTCCAACCTAATCCATAAAAAATTTATAGACAAGTTTTAGTTTTATGGAATCCCATTTTTTTGTATTATATGTTTGTTTCACCCAAAGGATTAGGAATAGGATTAGGAATCAGAATAAAAAAGAGGAGAGGTGTCAGAAATTCCACCCAATTCCTAGCAAATGGACTGGATTTGGATTTCCTGAAATATACACTGTTTGAGCCACTTTATAGATTAGCAATTCTATAATTTTTTTTGAACCAAACTCAAGATTAGGATTCATTTGGAATCCATTAATTACGAAAACGTCATTGTCAGGTCCAAATATTATTCCTATTCCATAAAATTGGTGAAACAAAAGGCTAGGCTAAGACTTTTTGGACCTGTATTTGCCTCATCACTTATTATTGCTGAATGCTAACGAAGTTTAATTGATAATAATTATGTTTCTTCAAACTGTGAAGTGTAAATTGATGTGTTGTCCCATTAAAATAAAACCTTTAATATTATCTTTTTCATAAAATACTTTATTTGGATTATTATCCTAATATGGTTCTTACCTAAACAAGTAGAAATACATGGGGAAACTTGGAAACGGTCTCTTGAGATTCAATGTATTATCGTATCTGCAATCAATGGTCTATAAACCATAGTCTTCTGGGCTTCGGCCCAATTATTAACGGGCTTGCCGAATGACGTGCCGGGCTTATTTAATTCAAATTGAATTTGCTCTATGTATATAACTCATGAATCACTCTCTCCCCTAGAATAAAAATTATTCATCGACTAATAGCATGTTTCTTAGTTACATTTAGTGAAGTTATGCAAAGGAACAATTTTTCAAAACAGACTCCTTTAGAGTTTTATTTTTCAAAATCGACCGGTTTTTTTTTATTTATCAAAACCGACTCGATTTTGTGATTAGCAGCCTAATCACCATCCTAAATAGTCGGGGTTACCAACCCCGACTATTTAGGAGGGTATTAAATCCTAATTAGAGACCTTAAATACTAAAAATTAAGGTCCTAAATAGTCGGGGTTGCCAACCCCGACTATTTAGGAAGGTGATTAGCCGGTTAAAGGTCCTAAATAGTCGGGGTTGCCAACCCCGACTATTTAGGAAGGTGATTAGCCGGTTAATCACAAAATCGGGTCGGTTTTGATAAATAAAAAAAAACCGGTCGATTTTGAAAAAAAAAAAAACTCTAAATGGGGCTGTTTTGAAAATTTGTTCTTATGCAAAGTTTATGAGATTCAGGAGTTGGACAAAGTAAATGATTAATGTTAACCAATATGCTATGGACTTCATGCTAAATGTATGTTTGAGTATATATACATATGCACTAATCACCTAAACACAAAGTAAGGATATACACATAACATGTTCTTCATGACACATCAATAACCAAGGCTAGATTTCATGCATATACTAAGCAATCCATTTACATACATAACACACTTTGTCATGTATACATTAAGCTCTTCATCAATGCACCCGAAATCTCTGACTATTACAAAGAACATCCTTCCTTTTCTTTCCCATGTTTGTAACTAAGTTTGACTTATACTTGGATTAATACAAGAATCATCTATCACACAATATATAACAACAAACTTTTTTACAAAGGCATACTTTGGCCCCTGAGAAAGGAGTTGATGAGCACAAGAGCCTCTTGGGGCTTGTTGAGAGGAACAAGATGCCCTGCTCCTCTGAATGTGACCATTGTCATCCCTTGGTATTCCACAAACCTCCCTGCAACCTGAAAATTGACAACATACAGCCCCCAAATTAGTCTTCATACAAAAAAGACAAATATCCCAAATTTTCTTGGTTGACTACGTAAATCATATTCTTCCATTCATTTCTATTATGGATCAACTCGGCTCTGATTCCTTCCAACCGAGTTTTCTTGGACCTGTCTCTACTGCATGGTGCGTTTTCTGGTCATCGCTCCACATTATCAAGCCACACCAGCCAACTTCCTCTCGTTTCGTTCTCAAATAGGGGCAACCGTTGCTCACATGAATGCACTCATTTCCTATCATACATTTTATCATTTCCGCGGCACGCTTTTAATTAATAAAGAAAGCAGCTAACATCTCATAAAACGCTAATGATATGACAATTAATCATTAAAACTATGTGAAAACTGGCATATCAAGGAATTTATATAAAAAAAAAATTGCAAAGTATGAGTTGGAAAGGGTACCTGCTTGTCATGATACCAAGTCTTCCACTGGGTCTTTGGTGGAAGGCCCAGGGACTCCACACAGTACCTGGATCCTATCACTGGCACTCTGCCATCTGTATCCCCACTGCTCAACACCAAAAACAAAAAAGTTTGATTGTGAACAAAAAAAGAAAAAGGCTTTTCTTTTGAATTCTTTGTGTCACATGACCCTTGCACAACAAACAGACTCCCATGACAGCCATATGATGTGGTTGTTTAAGTCCTGTGACTAGTGCTTGTTGTTTTCCTTCCTCTCTCTCTCTCTCTCTCTCTCTCTCTCTCTCTCTCTCTCTCTTGTTGGGGGGTTTGAATTTGAATCTGAACTTTTAAGGTAAGGTTCATATGGTAAAATTCAAACCTTGAGTCTAAGTATGTAAAAAAGCCTTTGGGTGTGTCCTATTAGGCCATTTTGTCCCCCAATAGAAGAAATTTTCTAAACAAACCCGTTCGTAAGTTTTTTTTTCTAAAAATAGACCCCCTTGAGTTTTTTTTTTACAAAAATCGACTCATTTTGTCTTAATCCGGTTTCTAAATAGTCGGGGTTGTCAACCCCGGCTATTTTTAGAAAAAAAAATATGAATGAGTTTATTTAGAAAATTTCTTCGAGAGTTATTTTATTCAAGGGCAGAGAGCGTAAAAAATAATTTAGAGTTATTTTATTCATGTATACATGAACCATGTCAATGTTATACTAGAGCCTTGCCCATTTTTGAAATGTAATCCAAGGACATATATCACTCCGTGATTGAGATGTGCACAACAGGAGTCAAAAGGAAAGGCTACATGGTATGTAGCCTTTAATTTCTGACTTCTCTTTTGATTCTTTGAGTTTTTTGTTTGTCAGGCAAAAACTGCGGGGTCTTTTTCCAATCTCTGTGTGTCAATTCTCGTAAGATAATCATTGCTCAATTGGAACTGAAAATTAAATAAAATAAATAAATAAATAAATAAAGTAGAAGCATGCACAAAAGTTGTAAGGAGCATGGACCAACCTGTACAGCCAAATCCTCAGCCCTCCTCTGATGAGCCTTGAATATATGGGAAGAATAGAAGACACGTTGAAGTTGTATGTGTTCAGTATGGAATCACTGCGTAAAGGACAACCAATCCAAAAATTATATGCAAACTTTAGTAAGGGTTAATTGCACATAGACCCCTTGTAGTATCACTGTTTTGCACTTCTATAGACCCGCTGGGTTAAATTTTTTTTTTCGACTCTTTTTATCCTTGGTGAAGTTTTGACAGATATTGCCCCTGGGTGATATCACTGAGTTTCTCTGAGGACTCAGGGTGTCTATATGCAACAGTGAAAACACAACAGGTGTAGTAAGTTCAAAACAGCGATAATAAAGGCGGCCAATTTGCAAAAAAGCTCTAAGGTAAGACTTACTTGCAAACTTTCCATCTTCCATTAGTCATTCCTGTAACATTAGCATGAAATGATCTCTTCACATCCTCCCTATTGAAATACTCCTCCACATAATTAGAGAAGCATGGATCATAACCTGCTGGAAATCTTACCCTCATCTCCCTCAATGAATTCATCTACAATTACAAAACCATGTATAAAGCTTCAAACATTCAGTATTTGGTAGCGTATCATTGTAATGCGACTAACCTCTGCAACACTCGATGATGCCTTTTGAGGATTGTTGCATTTAGGCGCGTAGATGTTGTAGATATCGATCTTTTTGTATTCGTGAAACACCAAACTCATTGCAATGCCGCAATCTTTTGTCCAGTTGAAGAGCTTGAAGTTACAAACTTTGTTGACGTGATCATATATTTGGTCTGATATGACAGTGTGGCTCCATGCATATTCGACTAATCCCTTTGTATCGTAGTAATCATCGGTTTCAGGGTTTCCAACCTACAATAACCAGTTAGTTGCCATGATCCTTATTAATAAGTAGATAAATATACCTTGTAAATGTCAATTAATAAGGTTTGGAGCTTACAATGAATCCTTTGAAATTGATAAATGGGTATTTTTCTTTGTTCTTGTTGCGTTCGTAGACCAGGTCAGCCAATTGTGGCACATAATGACCTGCAACAAGAATTAAGCACTCTTTTCAGGTAAATGGAAAAAAAAAATGAGATCGATGATTAAGAAAATAAGAGGAAGAAGAAGAAAATAGAGAAAATATCGAATAATTAGCTCGTGGTTCTAATTTTTATTCATACCCCTATGGGGAATTCGTATACTGTTTAATCAATTTTAATACGTATATCTGAATTACTTGTAGACTCAAATAAAATGTTACAAGTTGTGACTTTACCTGCATAACTCTCTCCTGCTAAGTAAAATTCGCGGTCTTGATACTGAGGAAATCTTTTCAACCAGTTCACAATGAAGCTGTATGCATCCTCAGCTACACGAACAATTTTCAAGGGAAAATATTATAAATTTAACAGTCTATGTTCCACAAATATTTACAATAAAATTGTAGATAAATAGACGGATACTAAAGACTGGTTACCCGCAAATGTATCCTCAAGGCTGCTAAGATCAGAGGATGTGTTTGTATAAGAGAATCCAACCCCCACTGGAGACTCCACAAACAGCAAATTTGCTTCTGAAAACCCATTAACCATTCTAAAAACTTAAATTATGAACATAAAACTACCAACATAATCATCATAGTGGGGGAAAAACCTTTGTTCCAAGCATATTTATTGAACTCAAGTCCTGTTCCATATCTCTTGACCCTGAGAGGGCCAAGCTCCGCAGCTGCTCCATAGCCTATAGATGAGCATCCAGGACCTATAAAAACAATTAAAACATATTAGTTTCAAAATTAAAACATCAATTCAAGATGAAGATGGATTTGTTAACCAAACCTCCATTGAGCCAGAGGAGGAGAGGCCTCTTCGAAGGCAGGGTTTGAGCCTCAAAGAACCAGTAGAAGAGGGCCCTCCCCCTCTCTTTGTTTACTGTAATGTAGCCCGAAAACTGCGAGACCAGCGGGTATCTCGGCTGGCCGGGGAGATTTAATACTCTGTCAGCCTCTTGTGCATGTGGGTTTTCCTCTAATCCCATGTTTGAAGCTCTGATTGCTTGGAGAGAGGAGAGGGTGAGGAGTGTGGTGATGATGATGGCTGTTGAAGAATGAGGTGCCATTATTGTTATTTTTTTTCCCCCGGATGAGTGAAGTTCAGTGAGGGGGAGGAGAGAGCTTTATACGAGAGGGGTAGTAAGAATCACGTGAGAATGGAGGAAAAGGGGGAGAGGGTTTTGAGAGTTTTCCTCCAAAAAGTAGAAAACATGCAGCTAGCAATCACGAATGAGGGAGGGCCGGTTAAAGTGAGGAGTTCATGTGCATTCTTTTATGGGAAAAATGCTTCCCGCCCCCAAAACACAACAAAATCGCGTACGGTTGGAAGAAAATCGCGCGCGGTTTTGGGGGCAAATCACACGTTGAAAAAGTCGGGGGGGAGGGGGGGGCAGAGCACGTTTTGGTTGTGTTTTGGGGGCTGAAAGCATTTTTCCCAAAAAAAAAAAGAAAGGAAAAAAAATACACTCCCATTGAACTCTGCTGAACAAATTTCCCTGTACTCGACTCCTCGGAAACAAAGACTTCATAAATATCAACTACTTATATAAAGTATCACAAAGGCACATAACCCCCACATAATCAGACTATCGACAAGTTCGAAAGTTTGGAGAAGTGAACCTGAATCGGTGTTCATTTCATTAATGGCAGAATATAAGTTCAAATGTCTTATAGAGTAGGACAAAGATCAAGGAAATGTTTTGCATACAAACAATACTAACTCCATCAGGAAGTGAACTTTTATATTGAAATTTTTTCGAGAAAAACTTTTATATTGCAATTCACCGATACAAACATATAATGACAGCAAGCAGGATTATGCCACTCCTCTGACCTAATAATCTGAGAGCAGCAATTATCCATAAGTTTTATTGAGCCTGCTTGTTTACATAGAGCGAGCAAATCTGCACAATAAAAAAAATAAATTAGATTAGAGACCAATCCAAGACATAAAACTAGGGTAAAACCGTACAAGAACATACCTATAACTCACTTCCCTAGGAGTCTGCTCTTGTTTCTGACATATTATTCGTTTCTCTATATTGTACGATACACCAAAGAGCTTTTAGAAGTTATGAAGAAATAACTGCCCAACCTAGATATAAGTTTTGATATATTATGATGGTCAAATACACAGAGAAAGTCGTCAACGGCCAAGAGGCTGAAGAATGAGATCTTCGTCGTCCAATTGACGAGTCTTGTTCTTCCTACATAAAGGTGCAGTGATCAATCTTGATAAGCGACTGACTGGGTCGTGCAAGCCATCCATCTCATAATGACCAAAGCGCCAGTCTCTTTGAATGTAAGGTCTTTGTATAGGTTCATCCAATCCTCCTGTAAAAATGAAGCTCCAGAAAGTGTTCAGAAAATAGGAAATTGAGTTCAAAAGGGAACATATTAGATGTGCGTACTTAATTCTAACAAGAAATCAAAATTGGGTGGTTTATAGAAAAGAATACAACAGGAGAATAACCTCAAAGATTGGTCATTGATACGATTGGAAGAGACACGAATTAAAAGCTTTAATCTTTCAAAGAAAAGACATGACATTGAAGATTTCATATCCTATCCATATTACTATCAAATACACATGCTTCAAATTT